CAAAGTGCTGGGATTACAGGGTGAGCCACCGAACCTGGCCGAAGGGAGGATTTAAAGTTGGAGAAGCTTTGGGTACTGTTAAGGATAAGCATTGAAGTGGGTAGTGAGGGTGGAGTGGAGGAGGAATTTAGACTTAGATCATGGAAACATCGAGTCAAGCACTAAATTTTTGAGGAAGGATAGGAATTCTGGCTGACAGGTACCTGGGAGATGAGAGACGGTGTTGAAATGTGTAAGCCTTTTTGTTGTGAGGAGACGAAGGGCGTGAGATGGTATGGTCAGGAGGTGCTTAGAGGGAACTGCACTGAGCAAGCAACACTGAGACAAAGGGTAGGGAGAACTTTCCAAGGATCCATGGAAGGCCGCCCGCTCAAAGCGTCCCTCTCTGTTGAGAATGGTTTATAGGTGTGCCCAGTGGTGAGTCTTTAGGGCCCTTCCAGGTAGCCCAGGCAGGCCAAGCTCCTCTGGATGCAAGCAGTCTCATCTTTTTATTGTGGAGTACCCTGCAAATATTGCCTGGGCCATAACGTAGCGACATGGAAGTTATTTGTAAAGTACGTCTGCTGACTCCTGATTTGCGTATTGACCATCATCACCACAGCAGCACCAGCCTAGGGTCTGGAGATGTAGCAGGCGTTCAAGATGTTTTGATAGAGATGTTTCCACCTCGTGCTATTCTGGGAGTTAAGAGACCTGAGTTCAAGTCTGGCTCCACAGCTGACTTGCTGTGTTGATGATGGGCATGTCCTTGCAAGCCTTATGCTGCCTCTCAGATTTTACCTGTTTCCTGAGGAAATGGGACTAGAATCCATGGTTCCTAAAGATTCGGAGAGCCATGAACCCTTTGAGAATTTGATGAAAACCAGAGACCCTCTCCTTTGGTAGCACATGCAGGAATAAACAAACATGTGCCCTTTCAGAGTGTGCTTGGACTAGATGTCCATGATCAAAGAAAGAACTTCGCCTGAAGGGACTGCTCACCTCAGGGGCTTGACTGCCTCTTCATCACAACCTCAAGCTAAGGAGCCCTCTACCAGGAGTGAAAGTACCCATCTTAGAAGCAAACCCGGTATCCTGGGCCTTGTCTGTATTATTTTTGTTCATTTGTTTTGTTTTTGAGATGGAGTCTAGCTCTGTTGCCAGGCTGGAGTGCAGTGGCGCAATCTCAGCTCACTGCAACCTCCGCCTCCTTGATCCTGCTGCCTCAGCCTCCCGAGTAGCTGGGACTACAGGCATGCCACCACGCCCAGCTAATTTTTTTATTTATAGTAGGTATAGGGTTTCACCATATTGGTCAGGCTGGTCTCGAGCTCCTCAGACGTGAATCCACCACCTTAGCCCCAAAGTGCACAAGTTCAAGCGTGAGCCACTTCCAGCCAATATGTCTTGCAAGGGGACTCTTACTGGCCTGTAACCCAGAGTTACAGAATGTAGCATCAAAACCTGTGAATAAAGCACTCGTAGATACTCAATGAAACTACTTACCCACCAGAGTTTGGATGGAGCTATAACATTAGCTATAACCAAATATAGATGTCTTGAAAAAGCTGAGCACTGGAGCATAGTTCAGTTAGGCCCATGGAGTTTGCAGTCAGATTCAGAGGAACTTAGTGTGGTATCTCAGGCAAAGATTACGCAGAAGAACAGGAAGGGAATAAATACGTTTACCTTAGCCAAGAGCACAGGGAACAGACTCGACAGTGCAATGAGTGTCTGGCAAGAAGTGAGAAGAGAGACACCTCCTGGTACTCAGATGAACTCACGTCCGTACCACTCTCGACACATCATGCTCTCTCAGCCCTAGAAAAGTCAGTATTCTGGTTTCCTCACCTGTGAAAGAAAGGGCTAATAGCACCCAATAAGTCAGGGGCGGTGGAGACTGAATCAGCTATAACCATGTGCTCCACAGCGATAGCAAAATTAACCTGAGCCTGTTTCCTCATGAGAAATTATTACTTTAGGCGTCTTCTAAGATGTGACTAAAACCTTTGAGAAAAACACATAGCACAAGCTTGCACCACACAAAGAGAGGCTCAACAAAAGAAAAACCTGATTTCAGCGCTCTTGTTGAGATAAATAAATCACTGAACATTGGATACTGCTGAAGAGGAAAAAATCAAGTTTCTTGCCTAGGACTTTCTGTGCTGCTCCTATGTCTTTGGATGTGTTTGGTTGCCTTTTGTGAGCTTTTCCTTCAGTTGTTACCTGTGTGAACAGAATTCAAAATTCTTTCATCATTTCACTAGAAGCTCAGGGAGAATTACCAACTCAACAAGCCAAAGCCTAATCCTGCCTTGTGGATTACACATCTGGAAACTGACCAGAAATACCATGCCCAGCAAATAATGTGATCTGTGAACTGAATCCTGTGAGGGTTGTGGGCCTCCCAAAGGCAGAAGAGGTTGAGTTCAGTGGAGTTGTTATTAGCCCTATCATGAGAGGAGGAGATCCACATCTTTCCTGGAAGCCTGGTGCCTCACATACACCATCAAAAAACCTGTTCATTTGCATTTGAAACATGCAAATAAAACATTTTGGCTCTATACCTCAGTATGATTATGTCTAAAACTGATGTAAGTTTGGGGATATGGTCTAGACCCTTCCACAAGTTATTCAAATATATTTGTAAAAATTTGCCCTCTAGGAAATAACCCCTAATCTTCCCAAAACTCCTCTCCGAGATTTTCTTGTTTATAATTTAGCTGAATAAAATTCTGACTCCATATTCATTTCTCAAGTTTATGAGGAAGAGGCCTTAATAGCCACTATTGAGGATTTATATCAAGGACAAATGGCTTTCAACACTAACACTAACTCCGTATGAACTGTCTGTGGGATTCAGGATAAAAAGCTGGATGTTGAAGTATCTTATTATATCTTGTAAGAAAGGTCTGTTCTCAGTCTTACTTCTTTCATCAGGAACTTACTACATGACCCTGGGCAGATATTAGGGCATTTTCCATCTGTTTAGAGGACAGAGGTAGTAAGCACAAGATCTGTGACAGTTCACATTTGAGTCTGAGTTCCTCACCTTCCAGCTTATCTTTATGGTAGAGCCAGTTGAGGCCAAAGGCAAAATCCCCAATAATGTTCTCATATGTGCTCACCTGAAGGAATTCTAAATCACAGTGCACACAGACTCTGAGTTAAATGGTACATTGCCCATGTCACTGGAAATCTAAAGAGCATCATCGTCAGGTTGGAAGGTAAGCTAATCTCTAGTTTCCTTCTTTAAAGCCTATGAAATACGAGGTTTCCCTGTAGTCCTTTGGCATCATGTGCTGTTTATACAGAAAGAGTCCCACAACTTGCTTTAGGACACTGCATCCTAAAACCAAAACAGCTCATGATACAGCCTCTAGAGTCGTCATTTATTGGTTATAGAGCACCCATCACATGAACGAGGTGCTTTACAATACAGTCAACATCACAACAGAACTCCATCATTAAATACAATCAACAAATTACAGAACTAAAAAAACTGAAACGAAGCAACATTATGTCAAATTTCAGATGCTGAGAAGTGGCAGTACAAAAAAGGTAATTCCACCAACTGGAGACCAGAGGCAAGATACACAGGCACCACAGCCCAGGCAGAGCAAATTTGGCAGAGTGGCAAACATCAATCAAAATTTCTACATAAAAACAAACCAGTCAAAGATACTGGCACTTACCACATGATCACAGTACTAGTAGAATAGCCTCACACACATGTTACCTTAGAATAACAGAAGTCAGCCTCATATGAGTTTTAAACTCAAGAGGCCCAGAAAGCCACTGAGATCGTCTATCCCATACAAAGCACAGACTGGAAATCTACATGCCTCTACAAGAACTTGGAGATAAATTTAGGAAACAGCCAACAGTTCTACAATCCATAAGATCTGGAGATGTTGTTGATGGTTGCTTCAAGTTTAGAGAAAATATAATTTCCTAAAGCAGAAGAGAGAAGAATCGCCTCACATCGATGGTGAGGCACTGGTGGAACAAAGCCACCTGGTTCAGGTATCACCTGAGTGTAGGTTTCATATCAAATGTAGAGAGCATTTAAATTTACATTATCAGATGAACACAGAAAAGCACAGATGGCATCTCTGACAGAGGAAGGGAAGTCCTGCCATCTATGAGCCTGTTTCAGTGTGTAATAACAAGTCAGGGCACTAGGTGGAAAAGCACGTGAAGAGAGACGCACTCATTCCGCGTCTTACTTCCACTCCGTAGAGCTAGCCCTGAAAAAAAAAAAAGAAAAAAAAAAAAACACATGGTTTTATCAAAGTAACTGCATTAAAAAAAAAAAAAAAAAAAAAAAAAAAAAAAAAACACATGGTTTTATCAAAGTAACTGCATTAAAGTGGCACTTAAAGTTCAAAAATAGTTGTCCCTGAGTTACTAGGTCATTTGCTGCTTGCTGAAGAGTCAGATCCCAAGTTTCACCTCAATAGATTGCTAGCAGAATTACAGCAATAGGAGAGCAAAATTCTAACTCCATTTTGCCACAAGCTACCACCATGTGAACAATTTCTGATTTAAGAGTAAAAAGGGAGCGATCCCATCTCTTAAAAAAAATTTTTTTTTTATTAGCCAGGCATGGTGGCATACACCTATAGTCCTAGCTACTCAGGAGGCTGAGGCAGGAGGATCACTTGAACCCAGGAGGTCAAAGCTGCAGTTAGCTATGATCGTTGCCACTGCACTCCAGCCTGGGTGACAGAGAGACCCAGTTTCTTTAAAAAAAAAAAAAAAAGGAAAAAGGATTGCATTCCAAGTCCCTTGAGGGTGTACAGTGCTGACATTTTGGGGCAACTATTTTTACAGAGTCTTTGGGAAAAAACCAACTCACAAAGTTCTTGAAGAACACTGGTTTCCAATGAATCAATTTCCAGTCACAACACATTTACGAGTTTTTATAAGGTTTGTGGGTTTGTATAATGTTTACGGGTTTTTATAATGCTTCAGAGTAGAGAACAGACAGGGGTTTAGAAAAAAATCACTCTCTACTGTGACGACATCCTCAACCATTTTATTTCTGCTTAAAAAAGGACATACAACGTTTGTAGAGGTCTGGGCTCTTGGCAGCAGTTCCTTCACTCTTCTGCCAAAGCATTTCTGCAAACCCCACAGAGCAGAGATGCACGAATTCTCACTGATTCTCACAATCAAACACCATGTCCCATCTGCTACTGTTTCAAGTTCTATCCCTTATAAGCCAAAGACTACTTCCCACACACAACCTCACAATCAACATGAAGGAGCCTAGGGCCTGCCTTTAACACTGCACATGTTCATTTTACCAATTGCTTAAGTTGTTTCAGAAAACGGTATGATAGGAAATATATTTAAGCTCAAACATTAATCAAATCCAAGTGTACTATTGTTAGTGATGGGATACGTCACATAGCAAAGTGTTTACCCCTGTAATGCTTTTAGATTCACATGAGAGTCCAGATAGAACCAAATACATACACTGCCATGGCCATGTGATTTTCAAGTATTAAAAGTTCATTTGCATAAGGAATCAACCTGAGATTTTCCTAAACCACTTCTCTGGCATTCAGTATTATAGCCTTCATTCAATACAATAAAAGCCAACAACTTGACAATTATTGAAAAAAAATTATATTTTGGAAGAACTCACTACATAAGGTGACAGAATTCCAAAATCAAATTACATGAAAATATACATCGCAATTTCTTTGTACAATAGGTGAGAAAAATCTGCAGTATAGAAGAATAGAGGCAAAGAAATATGAAGGACTAAGGAGAACGGTATGAGAGTAAATAGTATTTGTAATAGCAAACCCAGAAGTTAAGTAGAAAGCCTGTAGCTGTGCATGCTTCATTTATCCAACCTTAATACCAGGCAACTGAAGGGGGAAAAGTCAGATTTGCTATTGTTTGGGGGAAATTTTCCGTAAGTTGAATTAAGAACCATCTATTTGTAGTTCTCGGGGGGTAATGACTGGGATCAAGAGCTCACAACAGCCAATAAATGTTATTGCTATATCCAATCCAAGAGGTGGGTGCAACTAGAATATAAAAAGGACAAAGCACCTAGTGATGACTCCTTCAAAGTCATCATTAAAAATCAAGTAATTGCTCATTAAGTATTTCAGTATTGGAACTAAATCATTTGAGAACATTCTGGCAGATAAGAGATAAAAGCAAAGGGGAGTGTGTCAAAACAAAGAAGATACAAAAGTTTAGTAAGTGAAAAGAGTTTAATGAAGCCTCAATGGTTTAAGGGAAATTAAATGGAAACTTTTAATCCTAATTGCTTTTCATCTGACATGCTTAAAGGAATCCTTTTAAACTGATAAGAAACAATGAATAGGAAAGAAAACCTGCTAAAATCTTTTAGAATTTACACGATTCTTATTCTACTACAAGAAAGCATTATTTGGTACAAGGTGTATTTGTGGATGTACATGAACAGTATATATATTATCCGGATCATGTTGTGCTATGTACAGGTCTTTACAATTCTTCCTGAAGGTTAAAACAGTTCATTAGAATTCCAAATGCGTAATCATCTGTAAGTTGGCACTTGTTAGGCTCTTGTCAGCATTGATAACTGGCATGTTTTATTGCAGCCCAGTTCCAGCCAGTGTTTGCCAACTTGTACAACAGAAGTCCAGCAATAGGTGGGTAGAGTGCAGGAAAAACAGTGCCATGTTTCTCAATTGGAGACCTACAACAACAAAAACAACATTATATAGTCAATTTATCAATTATAAAAGAATTAACTGTAAGTAGGTTTTCTCCATATTAGATTTATTGGGCAACAAATCCTTCACTTCATTCTGAGCTCACTTTGTTTCTGTCTATTATAGTAGCTCACAGCCTCGTGGGTCTATTTAATTTTACATGTAAATTAATTGACATTAAGTACAATTTACAATGTAGGTCCTCAGTCATGTTAACCACATTGTACGTGCTCAACAGCCACATGTGGCTAGTGACTGGCAAGCTGAACAGCACAGCTCTGTCTTTATCATCACAGGGAAGTTCTAATGGACAGTGCTAATTTAGATTTTTCAATACTTCAAATGTCTTTCAACTTACATTAAATCTAGAATCCATAAGAGAAGATTTAAAAGTCAAGTGATTTGGAAATTTACAAACATTTGAGGATATTCAGAGAAACTACTTAAGATTGCCACACTTCCCAACTTGCTAAATTCTATCCAACTCACCATAGCTCCCTTCAAACCCATTTTCTCCACAAAGCCTGCCACAAATGACCCTCCGGATCCCAATTACAGTTTCTGTTTTCAATCTGTTGGCCTCATATCATCAAATTAGACTGTAAGTCAAGAACACATATACGTAAAAAGCAGGACCATCTCATCAAGTCTTACGTGCCCAGCAGCATGCTAAGTGCTTTACAAACTCATTTTCTGAATGCTCACATCACCATTATGAAGGAGTCTCCCCGTCTAAAGGTGAGATAAGTTCACATAGCCAATAAATGGCTTTCCTGTTCAAAAAGTTAGAAAAACACTAGGTTGAAGTTTTTGTTTGTTATTTATTTGAGACAGGGTCCCACTCTGTCCCTCATGCTGGAGTGTAATGGCATGAACACGGCTCACCGCAGCCTCCGCGCTCAAGTGATCTTCACACCTCAGCCTCCCAAATAGCTGGGACCACAGGTGCACACCACCATGCCCAGCTGATTTTTAAATTTTTTTGTAGAAACAGGATCTCACCACGTCACCCACGCTGGTCTTGAACTACAGGCTCAAGCAACGCTGCCACCTCGGCCTCCCAAAGCATTGGGATTACAGCCATGTGCTACTGAACCCAGTGGTTAAAGCTTTAAAAGTCTCACTTTTCAGAGTCTTTATTATATTAATATGTGCTTTGAAAGGGGGGTGGGTGGGGGCGCCAAGGACAGCAGAAAAGGAAACACCTATTAGGATTACATCTTTAAGTCAAGTGTTCCAAAGAACTCAGAAACTCTGAATCTATTGCCATGCACAATTTTGGGCAAAAGAATTCAAACAGAAGATGACTAAGAAATCAAGGGATATAATTTTAAATTCCTCACAGAGAAGCCAAATATACTTAAGAGTTATGGCAAATTTTAACTCACACCAGACATGTTCAGAATTCAGCGTGCCTTCTGAAGCCCAACATGAATTTATCAATCTTTTTTTTTTTTTCTTTTGAGACAGAGTCTCGCTCTGTCACCCAGGCTGGAGTGCAGTGGCGAGATCTCAGCTCACTGCAAGCTCTGCCTCCCGGGTTCACGCCATTCTCCTGCCTCAGCCTCCCAAGTAGCTGGGACTACAGGCGCCCGCCACCGTGCACCACCATGCCTGGCTAATATTTTGTATTTTTAGTAGAGATGGGGTTTCATCCTGTTAGCCAGGATGGTCTCGATCTCCTGACCTCGTGATCTGCCCACCTCGGCCTCCCAAAGTGGTGGAATTAGAGGCGTGAGCCACCGCGCCTAGCCAAATTTATCAATTTTACAATCACTCAAATGCAACCATAGCAAAAGCTCTGTTGTGGGGAGAAAGAAAGCTGTTTAGACGACCTCCCTGCAAGATCCTGAGAGGTAGAACGACTGCTAAATGTCTTTCCAAAATACATGTACCAATCAATGTAAATGGCCCTTAGCAAAGCATGAAATGTACTAAATAACAAATATATCACCTTCACCAGATACACATATGCACATACATATTTTTATTAGAAAATCAAAAGACATACACTGAAACTCAAGAGATGGCCAGGCACAGAGCTCCTGCCTATAGTCCCAGCGCTTTGGGAGGTCAAGGTGGGAAGACTGTTAGACACCAGGAGTTCAAGACCAGCCTGGGCAACAGGAGACCCTTGTCTCTACAATAAATAATATAATTAGCCAGCCACGGTGGCACATGCCTGTAGTCCCAGCTACTCGAGAGGCTGAGGTGGGAGGATAACTTGGAGCTCGGAGTTCTAGGCTGCAGTGAGACATGAGTGTACCACTGCACTGAAGCCTGCGTGACGGTGAGAGTGAGACCTTGTCTCGAAAAAGGAGCAGAACAGGGCAAGGGAAGACGCCACTGTACTCCAGCCTAGGCAACAGAGCAAGACTCCCATCTTAAAAAACACAAAATCAGGCGACCTAGCCTTTTAATAGCATGGTTCCAGTTTTAGATCGCATTACCCTTTTCAGCAGAGGAAAAGGAAAATCCGTCCCTCTTCCCTTTTAATAAAACTTATACTAAATTCTAAAGAGACAAGGCCTCAGTACCGAAAAGGCAGGTTTTGTCATTCTTTTCTCCAGAAAGGTAAACGTGAAAACTGAATTACCAGCACAGCACTGCAAATAAATGGTGCTGACTTGAAACAGTCATTTACATTTTAAGCATATCCACTTCATAGAATTTATGTTTCAATATTAATTGAAATTATATCAATTGCACTGGTCATTTGCCTCAAATTTTCTCATAATTATGCCTGCTTTTTAACCTAAAAATCTGGAGATGGTTTACCACCAAAGAACTTGAGTGTCTTATTCCATTTATTAATATTTCTAAAACTAGAGTCAAGTCTTTAATTTTCCATATGGCTACAAAACCTAATCTTCTAAAAAGATCTAAAAATATATATAAAACAGACCAATGTGCTCTCAAATAGAAGCCACTTTTTGATGTTAATGACAAAAATAAAAGTAATTCTTCAATCACAGGCAAGTATTTCAATGATCTTAAATGTTTCAATGATCTCGTAAGTGAAAACAGCCAATACCAATGAAATTTTCCCCATTACCCTTCACAAAAAATGCTTCCAAAAGTTCCAAATCACCCTACACAGTCACCCAGTGTACTCTTGACCCATCACCAATCCACTGACTTCTTCCCCCACACTGGGGCCGTGCTGCTCCTCTTCTTCTACCATGAGATTGGCGAGCAGCTCTAACACCAACTTCCTTTCTGAGCTCTCTGTGAGAACTCACTCTCCTAACTCTCCTGCGTGTTACCAAGCCAGCTCTGTCTCTTCCTCCTGTCCCCTAAATGTGCAGTCTCCAAGCTGCTGTCCTTGACCCTGGTAAGTACTGCTCTCTCTACACCAAACAGATCTTCATCTCTACTCTGGAGACTTGCAATGTCACCAGCAGCCCTACTTCTAACACCCAAAATTGAGTCATGGTCTGCTTCTAATCCCACTGAAGCCTTTTTTTGTTTTTTGGAGACAGAGTCGCCCTCTGTCACCCGGGCTGGAGTGCAGTGGTGCAATCTCCGCCTCCCAGGTTGAAGTGATTCTCCTGCGTCAGCCTCCCGAGTAGCTGGGATTACCGTCGCGCACCACCATACCGGCTAATTATTTTTCTATTTTTAGTAGAAAGCGGTTTTGCCATGTTGGTCTCAAACTCCCACCCACCCACTTCGGCCTCCAAAAGTGCTGGGATTACAGGCATGAGCCACTGCCCCTGGCCTCTACTGAAGTTTTTGATGTGATTTAACCTTACTTTATTTTATGCTTGGTCTACCTGGCTAGACAAACAGCTCTTTACAGGCCAGTATAATGTATCTGTCGCATTCTATGTGTTCCCTCCTTCCCCAAGAGGACAGTGCCTTTGCAAATGTGTGAGAAATTACTATGGATTCATGCCCCACATCTGCGACGAGGTAAGGCAGGCAGCCTTCTACCTTGCCGTGCGGAGTTACACGATGCACAGTCTTCTACCTTGTCGTGCGGAGTTACACAATGCACAGTCTTCTACCTTGTCGTGCGGGGTTACCCGATGCATAGTCTTCTACCTTTCTACCTTGTCGTGCGGAGTTACACAATGCACAGTCTTCTACCTTGCCGTGTGGGGTTCCACGATGCACAGTCTTCTACCTTACCGTGCGGGATTACCCGATGCACAGTCTTCTACCTTGCTGTGCGGAGTTCCACGATGCATAGTCTTCTACCTTACTGTGCAGAGTTACCCGATGCATAGTCTTCTACCTTGTCGTGCGGGGTTACCGGATGCATAGTCTTCTACCTTACCGTGCGGGGTTACCGGATGCATAGTCCTCTACCTTACCGTGCGGGGTTACACGATGCATAGTCTTCTACCTTACCGTGCGGGGTTACACGATGCATAGTCTTCTACCTTACTGTGCGGAGTTACCCGATGCATAGTCTGCTACCTTACTGTGCAGAGTTACCCGATGCATAGTCTTCTACCTTACCGTGCGGGATTACCCGATGCACAGTCTTCTACCTTACCGTGCGGGGTTACCCGAAGCATAGTGCTTATGCTGGGGCAGTCCCCCAGGACACGGATTCTGAGGCAGAGATTTGGTTTGTCAGGAGGTGCTCTCAAAAACAAGAGTGAGGGATGCAAGCTTAGACAAAGGGAGAAGATAAACTAATTCAAGGTAGTTGAGACAAAGGCCTCAGTCAATACTATGTTAGAATGACCTTCCCAAGAATTCCCAAACAAGACAAAAGAGCCAGTTGACCAGGTCTCTGTACCAACCCAACTCCACCCACCTAATCCACCAGTCACAGAATGCAGGTAAGCACCAGGGATTCCAGAAGCTGGGGAATGACTGCTTCCCTCAAGGCAGTCTGCCGACACCGGGCTCACCCTCTCTCACCTGCTCCCTCTGATGAAGCCAACTGCCATGTTGTGAACTGACTTACGGAGAGGCCTGCAGGAGACAGAACTGAGGGAGAACTCCAGCCAACAGGCAGTGAGGTGGA